AAAAGCAGCCTTCTACCACCACTGTCTCCTGCCGTTAAGCCAATTATGTATCCAGTTGGCAAGCTAACCCTGAATTCCATGTGACCAAACTTTACTAATTAGTCTACCATGCTTCAAGGCTTTACTAAAGTTCAAGTAAACAATGTCTACTGCTCTGACCTCATTAATCTTTTTGGTAACTTCCTCAGAAAAGCTCATTCAAGTTGGTAACACTCAATTTTCCTCACACAAAACCATACTGAATATCCCTGATCAATTTTTGCCCCTCTAAATGTTTATAAATCCTACCTTTAAGAATCACCTCCAACAACTTACCCACAACCAAAGTCAGACTCTCAGGTCATTAGTTCCCCAGTTTCACCTTACAACCCTTCTTAAACGTACAACATTAACTAACCTCCATTCATCAGGCACCTAGCCTGTAGTTATAGATGGTGTATATGTTTCTACAAGGGTCCCTGTAATTTCCTCCCTTACTTCCCATAGCATTCTGGGATATATTAGATCAGGTCCGAGAGATTTATCCACCTTTATATTTTCTAAGACCTCCAGAACTTTCTCTTCTGTAATGTGAACTGTTTTTAAAACATCAATATTTATTTCCCTGAGTTCTCTAGCCTCCATTTCTTTCTCCATAGTAAAAACTGACATGAAATAAGATCTCTTGCATCTTCTGGGATTCAACACCAAGACAACCTCTTTGATTTTTACCCTCTCCCTCTCTCTCCAGAGAAGCTCACCACAAGCTGGAAGAACAACATCTCACTTTCTGCAGCCTTCACAACTCAATATTGAGTTAAATAATTTTAGGGCCTGAACAGTTCCTTACATGTCCTTTACCCACCTGCACACCCCTGGACCTGTCATCACATCAACTGCTCCTATCACAGTCAACTCAGTTTCACCCACTAATGATCCTTATTATCAGCTTTTCTTTCTTCCTGGCTCACTGTTATCTCACCCTTTTGTCTGCCTAACTTGTCTTTCTCTCTCTCCCTGGGCTCCATCTCCACCTATTGTTTACTCCTTCACCCAAGTCCCAGCCCCAGACCTCACCCTCCCCAACTTTAGCATATATATCAACATTTCCTAGCTAAAATCAGTTCTGAAGAAGAATCACTGGACCCGAAACATTGACTCTGCTTTCACTCCACTGATGCTGCCAGACCTGCTGAATTTCTTCTACAATTTCTGTTTTCATTTCAAATTTCCACCATCTGCAATTCTTTGCTTTTTGTTTGATGCCAGCTTTTATATCTGCCATAGGTTTTGTAAATGTGTCCCTTCTGTCCAAAATACTAGTGTATCTAATACTTCAAGTACACTGTAGAACATAGAACACCACAACACAGGAATGGCCCACGATGTTGTGCCAAAAATGACGCAAAAGAACTAATCCTTCTGCCCTTGTTCCATATCCCACCACTCCTTCCATATTTGTGTGCTTATCTAAAAGTCCCTTAAACACCCTTATCATATCTGCCTCCACTACCACACCTGACAGCACGTTCCAAACACCTACCAACCTTCTCCAATCCAAGCAATAATTCATTTGCTGTGACTTTGTTTTCTGTCCATTCTGTGCCTCATGAGGCGAAACAAATTTTTTTTTTATGTAGTTCAACATGTTCTGATTAACCCTAGTCCCTGGAACAGAAAAAGGATTTTGGGCAAAAGATGTTGGCGGGGGAGGGGATAGGATTGTAAGTAAGAACTTTTTTTAATGCAGCTGGTGCTCTTGACCTGAAGCTTGCTATCTATGTAGGTGGTGGAAGCCAGGACAATGATTTTGAAATCAAATTGATTGGGCACTTGGGAGAAATGAACTTGCAGGGTTACAGGATAGAGTGGGGACAGTGAGACTGATTGACAGCTCTCAGTACAGCAAACCATAGACTTGATGGATTGAATGGCCTCCTTCTGTGCCATTATGATTCTGTGACTGATTTTTCAAAACCTGTGCAATAAATGTGCATTAATCGGTTGTGTTCTTTTGATCTATTCAGTTACTTCTTTAAAATAAATTTGCAATTTATTAATTTCTCAATAATATCTCAATCTTCCATTAACAAATTCATGCTTATGGTCCTTGATTAACTCATGTCTTTTTCGAGACACCGTGATTTTATCACAAATCATGAATGTGAAGAGCTTAGCCACAATTAATGTTGGGCAAATCAATCTATCGTGACACAGTTTACCATGTTCTCTCTGCTTCAGAAAGTTGTTACATTATCTACTCTTACACCAAAGGAAGAAATTTCAAAATTAAGGAGTGAGCAATGTGGTATGTTCTTTCCTTATTTCATCAACTCAAGGTGTTACATCATCAAGCTCTTGCGATTTCTAGTACCAGGTATCTACAGTTACATTAAATTGTTGTGTATCCTGCTCAAACAATGTATATGCCAGGAATTAACAGGTACCCTGTTAGTGCAAACATGTCGAAAATTGAGGCTTCCAAATTTAAAGCAAATCATAGAATTGTAGTCTTCTAGGTCATGATGGCATTTTGGTTTTATAATTCAATGCTTTTGGGATAAGTTTGTGATAGCTTTCCCAAGAATAAATTGTTACTAGCCTGGTTTTTGATGAGTTTAGTTCCAAACTTCACAAATTCATTAAGGGAAACCTATCCTACTCAGGAACATTTTGAGAACAATTGAAATGACTATGTTTTTATTGTCTTTGCAAAGAAGAGCCCCTATTTAGTGTTTTGTACATAGTAATATTTATTTCAATGCCCATCTTGCAAACCTAGATAATATTCTTGTGCTTGAGATAATTTAATTTAATTGGGAAAGATGATGGTTTGTTTTTTGTTTTGTATTTATGCGATCTGCTTGGGACCAATTAACTAGTTCTAGACAACTTTGAATGTTCACTTGACATTGCTGTAAGTGACAACAGAATTTTTACTTTACAACTCATGGGTCTATGATGATTTAGAATTGTAATGTAATAGGAATAACCAAAGTATGCCAAACATTGGAGGTGAATACAGATTAAAGTATAGGAATGAAATAGAAAAAGGCAGTGTGCATACTGTATATTGGGGAATAAAACAAATAGAGGAAAGAAGGGGAAAAAAACTACAAAACTATCTGGAAATTTCCAAACAAAAATACAAGCTAGGCTAAAATAGCTAGGGAACTTTTTATGTAATTGTAGTTTGATATAAGGGAGAACTGATTACTCCAGATAAGGATAAATTAAGATAGTATGGCCATATTAACAACTGAACAATCTGTGCTGTGAAATTTAAAAAAAAACAGAATGAAATGAACTTCACAAAATCTGCAAAAGGAAGCGGATCTAATAGGAAGATTAGAGGATGTTGGAAGCATGTCAGAACAGTGCTTGGAAGGGAATAAAGGGAACAACAAATAAGCATTTGTGGCAGCTGATTAATCCCACAGTCAGAAATTATTAGAGTACTGTGATGGTAAGTGTACAAAATGAACAGTTGACATCAGCAGTAAGAGGATCATCATAGAAGTGGTTAGTTGCAGTTCTTCAATTATAGACACTGCTTTATAAGGGAAAACTGCCCAAGGAACTGTGTTAATCTTTGTTGGGAATGTATGATTGTCCAAGTGGACTGTTGCAAGCTGTACTTGAGTGAAGTCTGTTTTGAAGTTGGGTAGAGTACTTGTGGATTGGGAGGCAGGAAGTTAGAACTTGGCGTTTGTAAAATGCTAGATGGGAAAGCATTGTATGGCCCCTTTAAAAGATTATGTGCTTTTTCTGTGCTTGGATATTTAAAATGGATGTTTGTGAGCAGCAATTTGAAAGTTTGCAAGTACACAGAGCACTTGAATTGAAACGTTTGTATCCACAGGCTGTACAGTTAGCAGGCCAAGCAGCAATTTTTACCAAGACAACAGGCTTTTGAATTTAGCCAATCAATTTGAGCCAGCACTTAGATAACAAAAAACAATTAAATTTAAATCTGATGGTTTTTGACAACGTAGGACCAATCCTATTGTAAGAAATATTAATATGGCATCAAGGGTATAAAAGATGGGGACAATTAGACAAAGCCATCTGCCAGAAATAATAGCTCTCAGCTCTAAAGAGAGAATTGCTGGCTCTCACAGCCTCCTCTACATCTTAGAGAAAGCACCATCTAAGCACCAACAGTACCGACAGCACAACTACTTAACATTCCTGACAGAAGAATTGGTGGAGTGGACACAAGAACCTTCCAGAAGACTTGTAACCTGGCTGTAATTTTGAGAGAGTGAATTCTTTTTTTATTTTATATAAGTGGAACATGCATTTATTGGAATAGCATACCATTACAATCTTGCTGTATTTGAGAGTAGTTAGTAATTTGAAGGGATTTAGTCTGTTTGTTAGTGGTTTAGTTAATTTGTTCACTGTTAGAGTTAGATAAACAAATTGTTACTTGTTGATTTTAAAATGAGTGTCATTGGTTTATTTTATTTAACCACTAGAAGTTGCTGAAAGGCAGGTTACACCACTTTTCACACTCCTTTTACAGATTATAGGGAGAGGTGTCCCTGTTTGGATGTTTTGGTTTTAGTTCTCAGAGTGGGAGGCAACCTCTGCTTTATAACAAGTCCTTCATGAAAGTATGCTATGAAAATTAAGAATGAGAGTTCAATGTAAAACTTTCATATAGATAAAGAAGTCCTTGAAGACAAGAAAGAAGTTAAGTATGATAAGGAATGTAAGTCAAAATGTTGAGGGAAAAGGGAAGAGAACCAAGTGGGATGCTATTTAGTTTGATGCTGGGACATTTGCAAATCCTAACCTACATTAATCTTTTAGACCCAGAAATCTAAAGCAAACTAATTGATTTTATAGATACTGAAGTACTGTAGTGGGATGGGTGTTGAAATTGATAAAACAGTTTAAAAATCTACAAAATTTAAGCATCAAATCAGCAAATGAAAGTTAGTGCTACTGGGTATTGAGCTTTATTTTAGTACAGTTAATCTTATTTTTAATTTTAGATTTTGTTTTCCTTATAGATATTTGATGTTTCTTGGGATTTACACCAACCAAACAAAATGATCAGCTGTGGTGTAAAACATATTAAGGTATGTATAAAGAACTTTGGAACCAGAGTCTCTTTATTCTTTCCTGCAACCCCCACCACACACAACCCAACCCCCCACACACACAACCCACTACCCCCCCCAACAAAAGAACACATGAAGATTTCACATCAATTCTATTGCTTATTTAATTATTTTTGATTGCTGAAGAAAAGTTTGCTGAACAGGTGTGGTATGTTCTTCACTAAAATCTGTGATCCTTTCACTTAAAATTCAGCCGTTTTTGTTTCACACTGAAGTTGTTCAGACTTAATTAAATTGTCAGCTCTGGTCTTAAAACTAAAATCAAGTTAATTATTAGAAATATTCTAATGTGTCCTCTTTTATGTGGATTTGAACTGAATTACAATCAAATTGATATGAATTAAAATGATGCTGTTATTTCTGTACATTAATATATACTAGGTTTATAAAATATTGAATGAAGTTATTACTGAAGAGGATTTAATACAGCTTTGTCATCTGCCTTGGATAAAGTGAACAATGATAAAGTGCTAACATATTAAATTGTTACGGTATCATGAGACATAATGTTAAGAAATAGGTGAAATGTTGCATTTAATTTTACTCAAAAAAATCAGAGGACTTTCTCATGTCATATCTCAGTGGAAAAGAACTTCAATGAATTTCACTCCTTGGAGACAAAAAAATGCTTAACAAAATTTTTAATGTTTTAAAGACTACTTTAAATAAAAAAAAAACAGCATTAGAAACATCTGGTCTGCTATAGAAGCATTGTGATAGTGAAGAACATTCTAGGGTGACTGTAGAAAATTGAGGACTATGACCTTAGGCCAACCTGAGATCCGTACATGCTACAGGAAACATGCTAGTGACTTTGAAGCAGATGACAACTGAGAGCTGGGAGAAGCTACCTCCAGCTACTACTGTTGAATATCTGACAGACCTATTTTGACTCTGGAAATTCGACATAAGCCCAGACTGGTCCAACGTCCTGAATCAGCTGAAATGTATGGAGCCAGGTTTTGAAGCATACACACTTCCTCTATAACCATTATCTTCTAAACAGAAGTAAATTTACTCCAAGACAACAAGGTGCAGGGCTGGATGAACACAGCAGGCCAAGCAGCATCATAGGAGCAGAGAGGCTGACGTTTCGGGCCTAGATCCTTCATCAGAAAAGGGGGAGGGGAAGGGGGTTTTGAAATAAATAGGGAGAGAGTGGGAGGCGGATAGAAGAGGGATAGAGGACAGGATAGGTGGAGAGGAAACAAACAGGTCGAAGAGGCGGGGATGGAGCCAGGAAAGGTGAGTGTAGGTAGGGAGTTAGGAAGGGGATAGGTCAGTCCAGGGAGGACGGACAGGTCAAGGGGGCGGGATGAGGTTGGTCGGTAGGAGATGGAGGTGCGGCTTGAGGTGGGAGGAGGGGATAGGTGGGAGGAAGAACCGGTTAGGGAGGCAGGGACGAGCTGGACTGGTTTTGGGATGCAGTGGGGGGAGGGGAGATTTTGAAACTTGTGAAATCCACATTGATACCATTGGGCTGCAGGGTTCCCAAGCGGAATATGAGTTGCTGTTCCTGCAACCTTCGGGTGGCATCGTTGTGGCACTGCAGGAGGCCCAGGATGGACATGTCATCTGAGGAATGGGAGGGGGAGTTGAAATGGTTCGCGACTGGGAGGTGCAGTTGTTTGTTGCGAACCGAGCGTAGGTGTTCTGCAAAGCGGTCCCCGAGTCTCCGCTTGGTTTCCCCGATGTAGAGGAAGCCACACCGGGTACAGCGGATGCAGTATACCACATTGGCAGATGTGCAGGTGAACATCTGCTTGATGTGGAAAGTCTTCTTGGGGCCTGGGATGGGGGTGAGGGAGGAAGTATGGGGGCAGGTGTAGCACTTCCTGCGGTTGCAGGGAAAAGTGCCGGGTGTGGTGGAGCTGGAGGGGAGTGTGGAGCGGACAAGGGAGTCACGGAGAGAGTTGTCCCTCCGGAAAGCAGATAAGGGTGGGGAGGGAAAGATGTCTTTGGTGGTGGGGTCGGATTGCAGATGGCGGAAGTGTCGGAGGATGATGCGTTGGATCCGGAGGTTGGTGGGGTGGTACGTGAGGACGAGGGGAATTCTTTTTTGGTTTTTATTGCGTGGACGGGGTGTGAGGGATGAGGTGCGGGAGATGTGGGAGACACGGTTGAGGGCGTTCTCGACCACCGAGGAGGGGAAGTTACGGTCCTTGAAAAACGAGGACAACTGAGATGTACGGGAGTGGAATGCCTCATCCTGGGAGCAGATGCGGCGGAGGCGAAGGAATTGGGAATAGGGGATGGCATTTTTGCAGGAAGGTGGGTGGGAGGAGGTGTATTCTAGGTA